TGTCTTCACAAGATACTCCTTTTCCTGATTTCACCAACTTTACATATTCTTACTAATTAACACCAATACTTTTTCCCTCTCCAACACGACTGTGTTCCCCTTTGCTCAACGCTGTCCGTTAACATTTTCCCATTATCTGTAAGTCTTCTACTGTGTATCTCCACACCTAATATACCTTTAAAAATTTCTCCCTATAGAAAGAAGTTCACCTTTGCATTTTAAAGCTGGGTGACAGATAAAAACTGTAGAATTCACTTAATTTGAATGGGTCAATACAAATAATTTTTGGTAGAAAGTTAATAGGAGCTCTTGGCTGCATCACAGTAATCTTTTATTAAGAGTGGGGTAGCCGCTTCTCAGATCAAAAGCCCTGGACTCAAGAAAAGTTTCCATAAAAACACAAAATACCTATTTCCCCACTCAACTCCCAAGACTTCTAGTGTTAGCATCTTTCTGTATCTCAGTTGTCTATGTCATATATAACAAGCAATCCCAAAACATCAGTGGCTTAACACTACAGTTCACTTCTCTCTCTCATTACATGTCCCCTGAAGGCTAGCATGGGACTCCATTTAATAAGTCACTTAGGGACTTAAACGAGCAGACTCTGCCATCTTGTAACTAAACCATCCAGAACGCCTGACCTCCTGACCTGGGCAGGGGAAGTGCCAGGAGAGCTGTGCGTGGACTTGCACCACCTCACTTCCTCTCACATTTCACTCTCAGAATAGTCACATGCCCCGCCCAGCCACCAGGGTGGGATCGGGGCATGGGGAAACTGCGAGATACAGAAGAGTAAACAGAATGTTTGGTAAAGAGTAATTGTCTCTGCCATATATCCCACACAAAACTAGCCTGAAATCAGATTTGTTAACACTTAAATTGAACCATCTTACAGACATTTGAATTTTTAGTTTTCTACTTAGAAGCCATTATCTTCCAGGGCCGGCCCCGTGGCGTAGCGGTTAAGTGCGCACGCTCTCCACTGCTGGCGGCCCGGGTTCGGATCCCGGGCGCGCACCAAGGCACCGCTTGTCAGGCCATGCTGTGGCAGCGTTCAACATAAAGTGGAGGAAGATGGGCACAGATGTTAGCCTAGGGCCAGTCTTCCTCAGCAAAAAGAGGAGGATTGGCATGGATGTTAGCTCAGGGCTGATCTTCCTCACACACACAAAAAAGCCATGTTCTTCCAAGCTGAATATTAGTTTTTATTCCGTTTTAATATCAATTTCTTTTCTGTTAGTCTGTACAACTTACAGAGCTTTAGCACAGATCTAAATCTTATCTTATCTGTAGGAGCAGCAAGGTTGGTTCACACAGGCCAATATAATTACTATTCAAAGTAATTCTGATTTCTTTTCTCCCCCCTTGCAATCTGTTTCTGTACCCCCTGGTACAACCCCCACCCTCCCCGGACATGGAAAGTTAACTAGGGAAAGCTAGAGCATTTCTCAGCTCTATTCTCTCTTCCACACCTAAAATGCCAGTTACTCAACTTCTGCTTGGAATGCCACTGTATAGCAACTAAAGAGGCTATCCTTAGGACCTCCCCTATCCCACTGACTGATCAACTTTTTGGGGGAAACTTAAGCATTCCTACAGCCTTGATTAGGAGAAGCTGGGAATTGTGCATCAGGCTACCTTGTTGTCATCTCAGCTTCCTTAAGTTGTTCACTGGGCCAGACAATCAGAAGAACTGGAACAGTGGGTGAATTCTGCTGTTGGGTTTGCTCTTAAAGAGTCCCTCAACCACCCAAATGTCTCATGCCACATGCTGTCTGGTCTCCACTTGGGAAGACTCAGCTCACTCCTTGGGTTTCCCAACACTTCGTCCCAAGCCCGATCACGGTGGTAGGGGTTTTCAACATAATCCCATTTTGACAGTAGCTGCACCGTCTCAGCTGGGCTAAGAACTGTTGGGAAGAGATCCATCCAAAGACCCACAATGTTACATGAAATTTGTGATTCAATTAAGACAAACCTTTATCAAAAGTAAGGCGATCACACAGGGTAGTGGCAGACACAGCTTATTTTAGAGGGGCTTCCCTTGGTCTCCAGAAACCTCATCAGTTATGTGCCAGTAGTCTCAGAGACTACAGGGTAGGTCTCACCAGATCTAGAAACTTTGATTCTTGCCTTAGCCACTGCCCTTTCCAAACTGCGGACTTACTGCTGTTCCTCAAGAGCATACACTAGCAATCTACGCACTTCTCTTTAACCTAATGCCTTCAAACATTGGACTCTCCTTTTTTTGAGCCAAACTTCTTGTAAGGCCACATTCTTATCCAAGGGCAGCAGCAGGGTGAGTGCCCAAATATTCCTGAATAATATCTCTGCTTCTGATTTCCCAAGTCTGGAAAGCCCATTTCTCCACATCTAAGTAGGTACCTCTGTTCATTTCTATCACAGCACTTATCATTAGTTTTAATTGCATGTATCTGCTTATTTACATGCTTATTCTTTAACTCTCTCACAAGACTATAGTAGACCACAACCATGTTTTTCCCCCTTATCACTGAGTATGCAATGCCTAGTATAGTGCCTAGCACATAAGTGTTCAATAAATACTCATTCAACAAATGAATGAGCAAGAAACATTCCACTAATTCCAAATGGTGTGGCATAGGTGCAATACAGGGTGGCCATTAAGGAGGACAGGCAGTCACACCTAAAGCACAAGCAACAAAATAAAAAACAAGTGGGACTACACCAAATTAAAAAGCTTCTACACTGCAAAAGAAACCATCAACAAAGTCAAAAGACAACCTGCAGAATGGGAAAAAACATTTGCAAACCATATATCTAGTAAGGGGTTAATATCCAAAATATATAAAGAATTCATACAACTCAAAAGCAAAGCAAAACAAAAAACAAGAACCAAATAACCCAATTAAAAAAATGGGCAATCTGAATAGACATTTTTCCAAAGAAGATATATGAATGGCCAATAGGTACATGAAAAGATGCTCAACATCACCAGCCATTAGGAAAACATAAACTAAAACCACAATGAGATATCACCTCATGCCTGTTAGAATGGACATCATCAAAAAGAGAAGAGATAACAAATGCTGGCGTGGATGTGGAGAAAAGAAAACCCTTGTGCACTGTTAGGAGGAATGTAAATTGGTGCAGTCACTACGGAAAACGTATGGAGGTTCCTCAAAAAATTAAAAATGCAACTACGACATGACCCAGCAATCCCACTTCTGGATATTTATCCAAAAGAATTGAAATCAGGATCTCGAAGAGATATTAGCACTCCCATGTTCACTGCAGCACTATTCGTAACAGTTAAGATGTGGAAACAACATAAAAGTCCACTGACAGATGAACGGATAAGGAAAATGTGGCATATACATATACTGGAATACTATACAGCCCTAAAAAGGAAATTCTGCAATATGTGAAATCATGAATGAACCTTGAGAGCATTATGCTAAGTGAAACAAGCTAGTCACAGAAAGCCAAATACTGGATGATTCTACTTATATAAAGTATCTAAAATAGTCTAATTCCTAGAATCAAAGAGTGGAATGGTGGTTGCCAGAGGCTGAGGGAAGGGATAAATGGGGAGCTACTAATCAATGGGGATAAAATTTCAGTTGTATTCTTACCACAAAATTAAAAACAAAAAAAAGAAGAGTCAGGCAGAAGAAATGATGAAGAAAACCCAGAGAGAGGTCTTACTGAGTCTAAGGAGAAAGCTTCAAAGAAGGAGTTCTTAATACTGCTGACAAGAAGCCACATAAGGGGGGCCAGCCCAGTGGCGTAGAGGTTAAGTTTGCGTGTTCCACTTCAGCAGCCCCGGGGTTCACCAGTTCAGATCCTGGGCGCAGACCTAGTCACCACTCATCAAGCCATGCTGAGGCCGCGTCCCACATAGAAGAGCTACAACTCTACAACCATGATACACAACTACGTACTGGGGCTTTGGGGAGAAAAAAGAACAAGAGGAAGACTGGCAACAATTGTTAGCACAGGGCCAATCTTCCTCAAAAAAAAAAAAAAGAAAAAAGAAAAAAGAAGCCACACAAGGCAAGCACTGAAGAGTGTCAGCTATACTTGGCTACAGTGAGGGCTAGGATGACCTTTCCAGGTCACTGTGGAGTGATACAAGAGAAAGTCAGACAGTACTAGTGGGGTAGAGGATCTGGAAAGTGAGGAAATAGAGGTAGCTGAGTGCAGATAACTGTTTCAAGCAGCTTTATTGACACAATGGGAGGATGATCTTGCTGTACTACTTTGTGGAATAATAAACTTTTCATGTATTCTTTGGGAAAGATTTAGCAGGGATCAACAGTTTCCTTAATCCTAAAATAGACCAAAAAACCCTGGGAAACAAGGCAAAAAAGAACACAAGGTGAGTCATTAAAGTTTTAAAAGATGAAATAGATGTATTCAATGAACAGTACTATGAAATTTTCACAGTTGGCAAAACAAAAACAATTATGAGTTGTTACATCGTTAAGGCGACACTCACATGATGTACAGGCTTGAGTGTCTCTGGACAACAAGAGTATCACCAATAACCTAGCAACTGACTGGACACATAGCCCAAACCCACCACTTGCTTGGGAAATCAGATGGTAAAGAAGCCAAAAGCCTCACTCGGGAGGGAACCTTTGATCTCTTTATAACGGGAAATGTTTGGGGGAAAGCACATCCAACACAGGATAACACTGCGATTTAAAAAACTACATTGAATTGCTGTACTTATTTGAAATTAACTTAATACCATTATCCATATTAATATTTTTCCAAGTAACAAAAGGAATATTATAACTTTTCTTTTGTTGCTTTCAGCTAACCTATATTGACAGAAAGACTACTGAGGAGTAACTAAAAAAAACCTTAAAAAGCAAAGGGCCAACGTTTTGAATGAATTTTTCAATTTAAATGTCAATTGCTAGTTATAAAAATTTGGGAGTAAACCCTTAAGAAAACATTCAGTATCTGAAGCAGAGCTGTCCTAAGATAATGCACACAAACCAACATAGTCTATTTAATAAAAATATTTAATGCTGCCAAAAAAGTATAAAAATACAGTATGAATGGCAGTACAATACAAAGTAGTCTCTCCTAATTTATTTCTTTTACATCTTTCTACATTTCATACACGCATTAAAAAACTTAACAATACATCAAATTAGAGGGTTCTGCAAAGTCTTCTGCTGGTGGTGCTCTTCATTCCCTGGATGTAAAGTTTACTTTGTAAACAGACAAATGTGAGGCAATCTACAGGTTTATCAAGCCTCACTTTAGTTTCCGGAGTGGGCTTCAGGTCTTGCTTTGCACATCAATGGTTCAAAATTTATAGCTGCAGAATATTTTCAAGTCATGAATACTTAGGTGTCTGTCAATCTTGGCCTAAAACATAAAATAAGAAGTCATCTATTCAAGTCATATTTACCAAACACACAGACATACACAGATACACACAAACATAAAAGGACTAACAATGAACTAAAAAGGCAACCGAAAAACATTCCAACATATCACATACAACCACACTTTAAGCGCTTCACTGTTATCTTGGTAAAACTGCTTAAGTGCTCGATTTTCAAACAGAATTGGTGGTGTGAGGTAGACTCATGTTAAAGCACCATAACTCATATATTTTTCAAGAATTACTATAAATTTTTCAGGTCATCCTGTATTATGCAAGAAATGACCTCCATGTAAGATACTGACAGACAGACAGGTTTAAAAAAAATGTACCCACAACAGTTTAGCAAGATTATATGGTATGTGCTAGACTTACCAATACTTTGGAATTCAATGCAAAAGTCTAATCCAATTTGGACCTCCACTGTATCATACTGCTAAAAATATTATGAATGTAATGTTTGAACATAAAGTTGGCTTATATCTTTAAATCACGGACTGTTAGCAGCATGCTTTTTGTCCTGAAGGTAATACTAATGGTTATAGAAATACAGAACTGAAGTGACACGATTTAAGTTACTATCAATATAAAAGAAAACACAGACATAAAATAATTGACAGATTTATTGTATTTTAATGCCAAAAAGTAAAGATAAATCAGAGTTTAAACAAGTGACGGACAGATGAAATAACTATTTTAAGGGCTGCTGAGTTTTTAATGTTATTTCACAATATTTGCAAATAGCTGAACTTTTGAGGAGGTAAATGCTATTTCCATTCTTCCTCCAACATCCCTTGCTATGACCAAAAAACCCCAAAACCTAAATACTTGTCATTATTGTATCTCCACATATATAAATAGGAAATATAAACCACATCCATATATTTATCCAAAACATTTCGTCAAAAACCTCAAACGCTGCGAACTGGGCTTCTTCTATTGAAGGAAAGAATAACAGCAACAAGCACCTTGGTGTTCTAAATACCCCTCTTCTCTGATTTCCCAGCACTGATAGAGAAATGTCAAGTCACCAAGAAAACACTCTCATCAGATGCCTGTGGGTCACAAAAACTGCTACGGATGCTCACTGCAGGGCTCTACAGAAACCTGAACCAAAGTGGTCGACGGGAAGGGACCTACTGATTCTGATGGCTGCAAGATATATATTTGTTTCCCACACATTCAGAAGTCTGCTCATTAAAACAAAAAAAGCTTAATCCACCAATCAAAGTGAATGAAATAATGGTTTGGTTTAGAGAATATTCTGATATACCAGTGTCTCTCTGGTTCAGTGGTAGTTCAAACCGTTTCACAAAATTTTTTGGAGGGAAAAACTTTGATTTGTTTCACTTAAAAAATAAAGAGAAGGTTACTTTGAATTTTTACAGGTAAAAGTAGTTTTCTAGACATTTGGTTTAAATATTCCATAAAAACAGCCAGTGTGACATAATGGAAAAAGTATGAGGTTGGGGGTTATTGGAATTCTACAGACTGGAGTTTAAATCTTAGGTCTGTCATGTACTAGCTGTGCAATCTTGGGCAAGTTACTTATTCTTTGACCAGTTTTCTTATCTGAAAATAGGGGTAACGTGATGTATCTAGAAGAGGTGTTAAGTGGGTTCAATTTAGATTATGTATTTAAACTGACTGGCAGAACTGTAGGTGCTCAACATACACTTTTGTCTTGCCCAGCAGTGTGTTAAAAATACACTTACCAAGGATGAACTATCATCTGTAACAACTAAAAGAACTTGATAGTGTTTTTAAAAATTCACTTACTTTTTTCTTTGTAAATATTATTCTGGGGGATAAGAAAATAAGATGAAATCATTGGAAGTGTTAACTATTTTAGAGATTATTTATTTGCAAGACTGAAAAGACAAATGGGCTTCATTTTAGGAAAAAATATGTTCACTTGAATCATTTTTTGCTGTTTTATTTAACAAGGCAAAAGTAAAATGGGGTCAAACAAATCAAGTGGAATTAGCCATGCCTGGTGCTTTCTCTCAGAAAGCAGCCCTCACACACTGCCAACCGTCCTTATGCTGGAAGGGTACTCGGGCTGGCTTTACAGACAGAGCTCATCTTCCCAAGCTGGCTCCATACCTGAAGTCACAGAATGTCAAACTGCATCCAAAGTAGTTTTTGCCAACAGATTTTCACACTATTACTCAAAAGAATCATAAAAATTTCTCTATGATAAGTGAAGTATTACCTTATAGACCAAATCAACTTACCTAGTTTCCCTTTCCTGAATTCATCTAACTCAGAATAACAACTTCTTTTTTATAGTAATTTGAACTATCAACATCATCGTGTCTAAAAAATCTATGCGATATTAGAGCAACAATCAAGAATTGATGATTTTCTTTAAAAAATGGTCTCTATAAAGGAAAAAAATTCCCATGCAATTCTCCTTATAGCTCCCCAAAACATACTATGGAATAGACAGTACTAAAGAAGACTCTGTAAATAATATCCTCACTAAATCCTGTAATTCCCATATTCCATGCTAAATTATAAGACCTATTCAAATAGAAAGAGTTCAAAAGACTGGACTTTTCGTTCTCCCAATGGACTGCACAGAGATGGTCAGAGCTCTTTAAAATTTTTTCGTTGTCAGGTTGTTACCAATAAAGACAAAGCTTCTCAAACCAAGTAAAAGCTTCTCGGTTTGATTTGCTGCTTATACTTTGGCAACACTCTGTGACAGAGTAAATAGCATACAACAAGAGAAAAGGATCAGCAACGACAGTGAGGAAAAAATTCTCCCCAAAGAAGTTTCCAAAATCCAGTAGCCAAAGGAGAGAACCATTTCTCTGAAGAATGTTGAGAAAGCACTCATGCAGAATTGCTCAATGCTGTTCCTGGAGCAATCTGAATGTGGTAAATATTGAGAAAATTCCTGCTGCTGAGGGAAACGTTAGATAGCCAAATTCATACCACTTTCCTAGAAGGTTTTTCTTCAAAACACTACCCAAGAAAGTGAGTAGCTTTAAATTCCCAAATTAAAAGCTTAAATTCCCAAAACTGGATGAATAATGAAATGGCTATATTATGGCCAGGTACATAGAACATAGCCAATAAGTGTGCAGTATCTATCTGAGGATTCCTGGGTAGAGCAGGCATTGTGGAGCCTACACAAACTGTGTTTCTTCCCACCAAGGCATGTTATCACTTATACATATTGAACGGAAGAAGAGATAGCTAGAATTTCTAACATATCCACTGTTGTAGGGGCTGATGGTGCTTTTCTCCCACAAACAGTGCTTTGAAGATAGGTATAAGGAAAAATGGAATCAAATCCAGAGAAATGAATTAGGGAAAAGATGAAAGAAACAGGTCAACTCCAGAATAAATCATTCAGGAAATGACCAAGACTTGTATTTTCAGTCAGGAGAACTTAATTTTATTATGTGGTAAAATATTATGCTTCTATTCTTCAAAATTTTATTTATAAGATTTTGTGCCCCTATCATCTAAATTAAGTCAAAGCCAAATAAGGGTTTCTTAAAGGGAAAGAGACTTAATTAGCTGTTGACATAGACATGAGAACATAGAACAGACATTTCAGCTATGCACTTAGTCCAGACCAGGATCAATGTACCAAGTTCTGACCTTGGCCACCCCCACCCTCTGCTAGCACGTAGCACATTGAGGGATCCACGCCCTTGCTCCATGCTCTCTAGCCCACTCACAAACTCACGTGGACCCATGAGACGAAAAAATAAATCAATGGTTACAGAACATGTGATTCCTAGACTCTTGCCTGAACACAGGAAGAAATGGACGACATACATAACGGCATTAGATTATAATAGACTATATTAAAAAAAAATCTCCATAAGATTTGTATCTTAATGTAAAAATCAAGGCAGACTAGATTTTAAAATCTGTACAATAACCAGGCAGGCACTTTGGAAATATAAGTACTCATTAGAGTATATAATGGTGGATAAAAATATTTCTAATATAATCAGATTCTGGCCTGTGTCTATTTATACAGAATCTAGTCAGACATATTTTTCTAAGAGGGAAATGACTTGCAGAAGCTAAGTCTTTCTTTGAGAATTATCTAATTCTAAAATATACTCTATATATGAGACTTTTCAATGATAGCACCATAAAAGAATGTAGAAATATCAAGTCTCAGGTTGATTATGGCTTAAAAATAACACCACCTACTTCAAAACTTTGTTGTGAGGATTAAATAGGATAATATATGAAAAGCACTTAGCACAGTGCTTGGAACAGAGTAAACGATCAATAAATGGTAGCAACCATCACTGTGAATGGATGCTGAAAGCAAAGAAGGAATTGATATAAAAACTGGACGACTGCTTCAGGTCATAAACTACTTTTTAAACCATGATGTATTTTTTGATTCATCCCATCAATTCTAATTTATTTGAAATAAAGGAACAAGCACAAGCATACATAAAATTAACTTAAGAGTTACAACTCCTTCCTCTGACATACCTGTTAAGCAGAGACATGTATAAAAAAAATTAGCAAGTTTTCACTTTCTTTCTCTTTTTTGTTCATTCCTTGGTAGAAGTATTAATACATGGTGAAATGGACCAAAAAGATAGAAGAGGAAAAGGACAGCCAAATATATAAATTATCCTCTAAACATGAGAAATCGTATTTAATATTGTTCTAAAGTTCTCTAGGTACTTGTACATATCACTTTTTTTAACCCTCTAAGAATTCAGGAAAAGAATACTATTTTTATTTTATATACGGATAAACTAAATACAGAGAATTATATTTTTACATATTATATATATGCAAGCATATCTAAAAATCAGTAGTAGTACAGCATAAAATACTTGGCTAAATTTGGAAATGAATATATAACCAGTTGGTGTAGCCAGAGAAGATGGCATTAAATCAAAGGTTGCTCTTAGTTTATTAGCAGGGACAGGTATGAACACAAATGAAGTAGATATTAATGGAAATATTCTTTCTTGAATACAATACAGCCTCTGGCTTTTTCAAAAATCTCTTTTTCCTCCTTAACTTATTTTAAGAATAATACTACCTCATTAAAGTCAAACTACACAACTGACTTAAAATTTGTTATACTTAGAAAATACTACGAAGACCTAAGGATACACAAATTTTATAAAGCTGCAGAGCCCATCATGGGTCGCTAACTTTTCCTCTGGCTGTTACCTGAGAAGGCAGGAGCCATGGCTGTGTCCTTCTCTCTGAGTATCACACTTCATTTAATAAAGGGTCAGGAAGATGACCATGGGCACCACAGCACATTGCCATATATTTTCAATAATTAGTACATGGCACCCACCAAAAATATTATTACTGGTAAAAACTTAACACATTATCCACAAGGACCTACTTGGAGGAGGAAAAATGACTAACACTTGCAGAAGTTCAACAAGTGTTCACTATGCTGAATATGATTTAAAAAATATATCACAACAAACACCATCCAGAAGGACAGAAAGCAGACAAAAAGCAAAGCCAGAATACTGACTCCAATGAAGCACATTCACCCCGCAAAGGGGCAACGTGCAGCATTATCAGCATTCGTTTTGTATAAGAAGTCTCTACCTTTTTGTTTAAAGCAAGGCTATCTTCAACCGGAAATTTAATATGGTCTATTCATATTTGACTTGCAGAGTAATACCATATTTCAGCAAAGATAAATCAAGGCAAATTGGAAAAAAAGACTAAACCAATAATGACCTAAAACGTTAGGGTCTTGCTGCCTGAACACAGGTTTAATGCAGACAGACATAAGAAAACGTCCCTCTTACCTCCTCTCCATTTAAAGGTTACAGGATACAGTAATACTGAATTAGGACACAGGCACAAGTTATACAAATCTTATTTAATATGTAGTACCACCTACATCCTGTTTTCATACTTTCAGCATAATTTAACACATTCAAGAGGCTACTCAATTCAAAATATCTATCTATACCAATGGTTTTCAAACTGTTTGTAAAATTATAACTGCCCCCTTAAAATAATTATCATGCAGAAATCTTATGTAGTATATAAAACAGATAAAGCAGAGACAATCTGGTTGAAAGTAAAGGTTGGTAGCTTGGAGTCCTTCCTACCACCTCTTGGCGACCCCTTAGAAATCCAACAAGCATAGTTTGAAAACCACTGAAATAATGTGATTTCATTATTTCAGCAATTAAATTTATAACAATATTTAAAGCTTATGTTAAACAAGTTAAACACTGAAAGGAATGTTGGGATCTGAAGAAAGCTAGCTCTCAAATGAGCAGTTAAATTCACTAAACAATAGGCTTTAAAAATACCCATTAAGAAGTTAAAGGGACAATGTAAGGTTTGTACGTCAACATACTATTTATTGAAGTAGAAAGGACTTGAAAAAATTTTTACTTCAAAACTTCAGTCTAGTAAACTGAAATCATGGATAATAAAATGCTGCTCCTCATTTTTATTTCCTAAATCATGATTATAAATTATAAATTAGGGTAATTACATTGAAATTTTCATGAAAAATAAACAGTATTAATAACGGGCTTTATAGAAACCAATTTCTTTACAAAGTCTTGATCAACTGTTACCTGACTATGCGAGTAAGAAGAATTTTCTTTCAAAGATATTTTTAGGGAAAATTTTTGTTTCTTTGTTTGATTTTCTTTTTAAAATTGGGAAAACTGTAAAACATAAAAGAAATGCAATATATATAGTAAAAATTGCTTATTCGGAGTTCTAACTGCTCATATCAAACTTCTCTTTAGGAAAATGTATCCAGTACAACTGAATCAAGATACAATTTATTTTTTTATGGTAACAGATTTTGCAAATTGACCTTTTAAAAAGTACATTTTAACTACAAAAGTAAGATTAAATAGGTACTTATAAAATATATTTACCCTGAAATGGTTAAGAATATAAAATGTTGATGCCCATACCAATAGTACATTATACATTACACACATTACTTAAAAGTCATTTTCTTTCCAATAATAATTTAGACAAAACCATAATATTTATTGCTTATATCAAGTGCAGGTTAAAATCCAGATAGCCTCCAAAACCAAATCCTTGTGATCAAGGATTTCTCGATCTGGTCAGGTGAAATATTACGCTTAACATGTGTGAATACAGTTGCAAAATGTACCAGTTTTTAACAAGCATTCAAGTCTTTATTTTAGATAGCCGTTTACAGTCTGGGGCAGCGCCCTGAGACGTTGGGCTGGGGACTGAATATATCACTTATCTGGTTGGTGTCTATTCTACTGCACCGTTTTGGGGTATGAGGAGTTTGCTAACAGACAAACCCTTGTGATAGATGCCACACCGTCAGCTACTAGTGCAGAAGCTTGCTGGGCAGAATGAATTTTTTATTTATAGAACATTTTGCTGAAAAAACAGTGTCCAGCCAACAAAAGCGCCAACCAAAATGACTGACACAAACCCCATCTTAGTGAGAATAGGTTGCCAATATAACCACCTTTTTCTTTTTCGTTCAGTCTCATTTAGCCTCTGTTTCATCTGCTGCACCTTCTGAGCCGTGTTAGCTTTTCTGTCCTCTCGAACACGTTTCCGTAGAACACTAGGAATAAATAAAAACAAATAAAAGGAAGTGCACAGCAGGACTTAATTACTCTAATACAGAGGACCTCAGCTCAAATACCCGGCCCTCCCACCCGCCCCATTTTTCAACTCATTCAAACACTGGAACAAAAAAAGGGAAAAAGCCTCAATATTGTAAATGGTCCAGAGATGTACTGATAATTCAGTGACAATTTTAGGTACAGTTTTATATTAATAAATACTTTTAGTAGAACCTGAAAATAAGCATGGTACTTTCTTTCTTGAAACATGAACTGGTGACTGCCAGTTTTCTCTCTCACTTTTCTTTGCTAACCAGCCAGCAGAAGTGGGAAGACAAGTGGGTCCCCCAGGATCTGATCCCTTTTCATGTTTACATTTTATTTTTTACAAAGGCTCCTGATAAAAGCTTATCTACTTAATATTTCCATGAATATTTTGTGTGCGAGGGCCTATTGCTCTGTTTGTCCATACAATATCTCTAACTCCCATTTTCCTATTCAATAGAGAAATTTTGTTCCAATGAAAGCTTTCTGACTCCCAAGATACACAGTTCTACAACACCTTAAAGAAGAATGGCCAACGGCAATACGTAAGTTACTATTTCTTCCCTTTAAAAAAATCTCACAGAGGGGCCACCCCAGTGGCGCAAGCGGTTAAGTGCGCACGCTCCGCTTCAGCGGCCCAGGGTTCGCAGGTTGGGAACCCGGGTGCGCACCAGCGCACCACTTGGTAAGCCACGCTGTGGTGGCGTCCCATATAAAGTAGAGGAAGATGGGCACAGATGTTAGCCCAGGGCCAGTCTTCCTCAAGAAAAAAAGGGGAGGATTGGCATCGGATGTTAGCTCAGGGCTGGTCCTCACAAAAAAACAAACAAAACAAACAAACAAACAAAAAATCTCACAGAGCCAGCCTTGATGGCCCAGTGGTTAACATTCTGTGCATTCTGCTTTGGCAGCCTGGGTTCAGTTCCCGGGCACAGAACCTCACCACTCGTCTGTCAGTAGCCATGCTGTGGTGGCAGCTCACACAGAAGAACTAGGACTTACAAGTAGAATATACAACTATGTACTGGGACTTTGGGGAGGCAAAAAAAGGAGAGGAAGATTGGCAACAGATGTTAGCTTGGGGCAAATCTTTCCCAGCAAAAAAAATAAAATAAAAAACAAATTTAAAAAATTAAAAAATCTCAAAAATCCATTTCTTCTTTTCACTTATTGCCTATATTACAGCAAAAACCTAACCAGTTGCCCTGCTTCCAAATTAAACATTATCGCCACAGTAATTTTTCTAAAGAATAGCTCTCATTATAAAGCTTGATAAAAAATCTTGAATACCTTTTCTGGGTCTATTACATTAAGAGCCAACTTTTTTCCTGGCCAAAATGTTTAATCTGAATAATGAGAAACAATACGGAATCCAGATTGTGAGGCATTCTAAAAGGTCTAGAAGAGCTGCAAAAATGCCATCAAGCAAGGAAAAACAAAAGTGGCGAACAGTTCCAGATTGAAGGAGACTAAAGGATCATGTCAACCAAATACATTCCATGATCCCTGATTAGACCCTGAATTATTTTTTTAAATAGTTATAGAGATTGGGATCATGAAAATGTTCCAAAATTAGATTATGGTGAGGACTACACAACTCTGCAAATACACTAAATCCAATGAACTGTATACTTTAAATGAATGAACTTAATGGTATGTAAATTATATCTCAATAAAGTTATTTTTTAAAAAGCTATAAGGTGGATTTTTTAGATTTATTAGAAGTATGCAAACCATACTTCTGATAAGGGCTTAATCTCCAAAATATATAAAGAACTCATGCATCTCAACAACAAAAAAACTACCAACCCAACTAAAAAATGGGCAAAAGACCTGAACAGACATTTCTCCAAAGAAGATATACAGATGGCCAACAGACACATGAAAAGATGTTCAAAATCACTAACTATCAGGGAAATGCAAATCAAAACTACAATGAGATATCACCTCACGCCCGTCAGAATGGCTATAATTAACAAGACAGGAAACAACATGTGTTGGAGAGGATGTGGAGAGAAGGGAACTCTCATACACTGCTGGTGGGAGTGCAAACTGGTGCAGCCACTATGGAAAACAGTATGGAGATTCCTCAAAAAAGCAAGGATAGAACTACCATATGATCCAGCTATTCCACTGTTGGGTATTTATCCAAAGAACTTGAAAACACCAATTTGCAAAGGTACATGCACCCCTGTGTTCATTGCAGCGTTATTCACAATAGCCAAGACTTGGAAGCAACCTAACTGCCCATCAAGGGATGAATGGATAAAGAAGATGTGGTATATATACACAATGGAATACTACTCAGCCATAAGAAACGATGAAATCCAGCCATTTGTGACAACATGGATGGACATTGAGGGTATAATGCAAAGTGAAATAAGTCAGAGGGAGAAGGTCAAATACCGTATGATTTCCTTCATTAAGTAGTAGATAATAACAACAATAAACAAGCACATAGGGACAGAGATTGGATTGGTGGTTACCAGAGGGGAAGGGGGGAGGGAGGAGGGTGAAAGGGATAATTCGGTACATATGTGTGGTGATGGGTTGTAATTAGTATTTTGGTGGTGAACATGATGTAATCTATGCAGAAATAGAAGTACAATGATGTACACCTGAAATTTTTACAATGTTATAAACCAATGTTACTGCAATAAACAAAAAATTAAAAAAAATAAAAAAATAAAAAAATAAAAAGCTATAAGGTGGATTTTTTAGACAACTAGAGAAATTTGAATATAGACTGTATATTAGATCATTTTATCAATGTTAAATTTCTTTAGAATACTGGAACCTTCAGACATTGCTGGTGGGAATGTAAAATGATACAGCTGCTGTGGAAAACTGGCAGTTCCTCAAAATGTTAAACAGCTACTATGCACTCCTAGATATATACCCAAGAGAACTGAAAACAGATTTCCACACCAAAACTTTCCAAAATTCTCCTGCTATGCACAACTTTATTCTTGCCCAAATGGTTTTTTGCTGTTCTCCAAATTTGTTCCCCACTCTAAACTAGAAACCTTCTGTTCTCTCTGGTCCTATCATTTTCAATTCTGTTCTTCAATTCTCCCACCTCTTAGCCCCTACAGCCTTCTATTCTTATCTTATGGCACTTAATTTGTAGTAAATAATTTATTTTTTTTTTTAAGATTTTATTTATTTATTTATTTTTTTCCCCCCAAAGCCCCAGTAGATAGTTGTATGTCATAGCTGCACATCCTTCTAGTTGCTGTACGTGGGACTTGGCCTCAGCATGGCCAGAGAAGTGGTGCGTCGGTGCGCGCCTGGGATCCGAACCCGGGCCACCAGCAGCGGAGCGTGCGCACTTAACCGCTAAGCCACGGGGCCGGCCCTGTAGTAAATAATTTATGTTGCTAATCTGGGTTCTTGTTTTACCCCCCATATTAGCAACCTAGGAACTATATTTTGCTTATCTCTGTATGTCCTATGGTGCTTTCTAATGTCTTTTTCACTTTTATATTACACACAGGTATCTCTGGCTATCTGAACTCTATCTCAATATTTACTATAATGACTTGTAAAAATTATTATCCAGAATTCACTCTATGAACTGAAAATTCACTATAACAAATGTGTACCTGCCAGTGAAAAAATTTAAGCTGTATTCAAGTGTAGGCAAAGCACATACAAAATACATAAAAGTATACAGAGCTCCCACCCAAGGGGTTAGCCTTCCATGAGTCCATATATTTGTTTCTGCCAGGAGCTTGAGGCCACCAACAACCAGGTTCCAATTTAGATGGAATCTTTACCACATCATTTCATTTTAAATTTTCACTGCAGTACAAAAGACAATTGTATGTTTTATCCAGTGTTGTCATTTACCACATAAACCCAATGAGTTCAGTGAGTGTGACACGATTACATAATTACCGCTTTAAATACTTTGTTAAATAGGAATTTAAAAGGATTTTTATGATATTTGGAGAAACTGGTTATGGTTTTGGTTGGGCTGAGAACACACAATTTTCCCATTTAAAATAATGGAATAGAGGCTCTTGCTTTCCAAAAAATGTACCATACATGTATTTTCAGGAATGGAATGAATACAAATACCAAGGGACACCATTACTTAGTTTAAGAATGCAATTCCAAAGAAGTAAGGATTATTCTCAATTTGTGATACAATAAAATCTTTTTTTTACCTACTTGGGCCTAAGGAAATTATGTCCATGTGATTACCTGCCAAGTGGGACCTGGCCAAGTTTTCCTATAAGTTTATAAAATTTAGGCCATAAACTGGCAGGGAATGCCTCCTGTGGACCCTTGCCCTTGGAAGATCATGTGGAATTCCTCATGGTGGCACATATAGCAGGCTGCTGCCAATACATGTCTTGACAGGCCTAATTACAGCATACAACACATAGGAGAAGGAGCCGAATGATCTGACTTTTCATTTATCTAAATTGTTCTCCACTCTCAGTGAACTGTGTTTATGCATTCCATTATAATTGAGAACACTGGCTTTCAAACCTTGATGGCAACCTTAAGAAAGAAATATCTCACCATCACAACAGAGTAACTGTACACACACACACATTTATATATGTGCACAATATATATGTAAATATATAGAATTTATATAACGTACATATATAAAAACATGTTAAAATAGTTACAATTTGTGATGCTCATCTATTTTATTCTCTAATTTAAACTCTAATTGCTATTTTATTGTATTATTTAAAAAATGCTTTTTATAACTCACTAAATTGATTTCATGACTATGGGAATGTGACCTTCAATATGAAAAACACTAATCTGGAGGATAGTTAATAATGAAAATGAAGAAAATAAAGTATTGTGTCCTATTCCTTTGAAACAAATTCTTTTGATAAGATTTTCTTTTATTAGCATCTCTAATACAAGGCTACAGATCAGCATTAAAATTTATTAGGACTGAACAACAGAATTTTTCAGGGTAATCTTTACTGTATGCTCCTTTACTTTTTTATAACCTTGCTTCCTCAATTAGTCCTCTCTGCTCACAGTCCTTACTTTCCTATTGGGACCCTCCCCATGCTTTCAAACATGCTCTGGTCTCACCTATCCCACAGGGAAGAAAACAACAACAACATATGTGTACACTGCCTCCCCCTTGACCCGATGAAACCACCTTCTGCAATCACTCTAACTCCTAAGTGGTTTTACTGATCTCCTCTGTACTGCCAAACTTGGACAACGAGTGGTTTACCTCGTTGGGACTGTTAACATGGCTGGTCTGTGTCCTTAAAGATTAAAACTCAACACATCTGAAATATTAAGGACACCGATTCAATTATCAAGCCTGTTTTCCAATTAATTCCACACATAGTACTAGCCAAAACAACATCAGGAACTCAAGAATCTTATTACTGAAAAAGATAAGGTAATTTAAAATGGTATTATTTCTTGATTTAAAAGTATTACATTTAAGGTGAAAGAAGGAACAAACAACTTTATGCTTTAACTTGTAGTCTAAAACCACCGAAGTCATAAATAAGGAGTAACATTGCTAAGTCATAATAAACTCTTCGATATAATACGTAATAACACATATACTATGCATTGCAATATGTTACCTTTTATAAAATTTCAGGTAATTTTTATATTGGGGAAATACAGAAGTGAAGTTATAATGTATAGATCTTAATGATTTTCATGGTACATCTCAAGATCCCAATGTAACAAACATGATGACAGCATAAAATTATGCACAATAAAAAGCATATTTGACAAAAAGAAAAGAAAAAAAAGTCATTCAGATACCTAAGAGAGGAAGTCACTTTGCTAAATGACTCATACCTCAGGATACCAGCTTCCTAATGCGTATGAGATAATTAGAGCCTTAGAAATGTAATTTTTTAAATTTAAAAACTTAATAGGGGCTGGCCCTGTGGCCTGGTGGTGAAGTTTGGTGTGCTCAGCTTCAGTGGCCTGGGTTCGCAGGTTCGGATCACAGGTGCGGACCTATGCCACTCATTGTTCATGCTGTGGCGGCAACACATGTACAAAATAGAGGAAGACTGGCACAGATGTTAGCTCAAGGCCAATCTTCCTCAAGCAAAAAAAGAGGGAGATTGGCAACAGATGTTCGCTCAGGGTGAATCTTCCTCAGCAAAAAAAAA